TCAACTTTTTGGTATTTTCTTGTCTGAATATTTATCTTTAATTTTGTTTAGAGAAGAATAGATTCTGCTGCACAGATTATACATTTAAAGAAAAAAAACTTCCAAATAAGCTGTTTACAAAACGCACTAACCAAACAGTTAAACTGCTTATTCAGAACAGGGGCAAAATGGTCAATTTTTCACAATCAGTTGTTTTCCATAAGCGCCAACCAAACAGCCAGACAGCTTATCCGGATCAGCTGCTCATCAGCAGATTATCAGGATAAGCTGCTTATCAGCAGAAGCTGGATAAGCTGCAGCTGCCCCAAACAGACCCTAAGCCATTGATGAAAAGCTCTTCCACTTGTTCGCCACTTCGGCAAGCGCCTTTGAAGAAGACCCTTCCTCACTCAAAGCCATGGCCGCCGCCTCCTTCAATTCCTCCACCCTCCTCCTGATAACCTTCCCTTCCTCCCCAACCAACAACTCCCTCACCACCCTCCCAACCTCCTCCCTATCCACCACCCCATCCTCCCTCGTCTTCGGCCTCATCGCCACCTTCACTCCCCCCGTCAGCACCACCGCATTCATTTTTTGCTCCGCGAACAACGGCCACGCTATCAAAGGCACGCCGTGCGCCACGCTCTCCAGTGTTGAGTTCCACCCGCAGTGCGACACAAATCCTCCCGTCGCATTGTGCCCTAGAACCTCAATCTGCGGAGCCCATGACGGGACTATCAAGCCGAAATTCATTGTGCGGGTTAAAAACCCATCCGGAAGATACCCCAACGGATCCTCAGCGCTCCTCGCCGTAAAATACGTGGCAGATGAGTCCTTGTCGCTCGGGCTCCGCACCACCCACAGGAATCGTTGTCCGCTCGCCTCGAGACCTAGGGCTACCTCTTGCGTTTGCTCTGTCGATAGCGTACCGCCGCTACCGAATGACACGAACACAACTGATTTGTCCGGCTGAGCGTCCAGCCATTTCAGGCATTCCGCACGCTCCGCGTGGGGCTGCCGGCCGATTTGTATAAGCGGGCCTATTGGGTACACCGGCGGCCTCCCGGGATTGTCAGCCATGAGAAGATCGGCGGCTTCTGGCTCGATCTCGACAAATGTGTTGACCAGAATCCCTTTAGCCTCGCGGTAACGCTTTGCGTGAAGCAGGATCAATTTGTAGCACTCGTCGGTCCTGTCCTGAATAGGATCGAGGACATCGGGGCCGGGAATAGGTACGAATCCTGGGAGCTGGATGGGGTCGGTCAGCTGCCAGAAGTAGTCGACGGTTAATGGTAGGGCTGGAAGCTCTAATAACATGGTGAGGAAGAGGAAATTAGTGGGGATGAAGAGGTAGTGAGGAATGGCGAGTTCGATGGCGGCATCGAAGGCTGGGGTGCCGAAGAGATCGGCTACGAAGGCGACGAGAGGGGTGGTGGAGAGGAGGGAGGTGAGAAGGGAACGTAGTGCGGGGAGGGAACGAGTGGTGGCAACGGTGATGTAGGTTTCGAGGCGTGAATCGGCGGGGAGATCGTGGAGAGGGGAGGGTGGGAGGGAGAGGGAGGTGATGAAGGAGGGGAGCGAAGAGAGGAAGGAGTCTTGTGCTTGGTTGGAGGATTCGGCCATGTTGATGATGGTGACGGCGAGGTGGTGGCGGTCGACAAGGAGCTTGGCGAGCTCGACGAAGGGGATCAAGTGGCCCATGCCGGGAGTGGGCATGAGGGCGATGTGAGGTCTGCGGTCTGATGAGTTCGGCATTGGTGGAGGTTGCTCTGGTTTGAAATGGGGATGGTGCGCAAGGTTTTTAATTTAAGCCGGGTGTTGGACATTTTATTTGTTTAATTATTTCGATCCGTTCGAGGCGAGGGAGGCGACGGAGGAATATAGAATCATAATTATTTTGTTCATGCTTGTCTTGTATGAATAAAATCACCGAATCAGGGAATTATAATACGAGTAAAAAATGTATATTAATATTTGTTTAACAATCTTTAGCTAACTTCGACAATGAAGATATGATATTCATAATTTTTTAATAATTAGGCCTCTTTTGATTTCATTATTTATGCTTTCAGATTGAAAATTTTGATTCGCGTAACATCGGTTAATTTTATAAAACATATTTCCCCTATAAGTTTCTAAAATTTTGAACTTCTCTAGGGCTTTAAGTTTGGTGATATGTCTAGAAAAGGCATTTTTCATCTGATATCACCTTGCGGTCTTAGCTCACCTTCTCTCCCTTAAATAATCTAAAAGGGAGGAGCTTACATAATTGGAATAGTACGTTCATCCTTCTACGTTGGACTAAAAGGCAAGATTTTTCTTATTCTAATTATAAGTGATCATCTATGTTGTATTGTTGATCTTACAAGGAAAATAATATCAATATTGTTGGCTTTATGCTTGAGGCAAGTTCTCTCCCTTATCACTATCATCATTTGTTCTTTTAGCTCATTAATTTGTTGCACCATGAACTCCTTACTACATTCCATGTTGTTGAAGATTTCTTTGTTGTTGTGTAGCTCATCTTCCTATTTATAACATGCTCTATATTCACCACATCTTTCAGGATGTTGGATCATAGTTTGTATGTGGATACACACCACTATGGAAAGAGCTAAATAAGGAAATATTTGAACCCAAGATTAGGGGGAGAATGAAAGATGAATAAGTCTTTCAATATTCAGAGATCTATCCCATGTATTATAACAATCTCTTTTATTTATAAAGGTTTTCATTTATATATTACAAATATACATGAATCTCAATAGACATTTGCTCTATCTTTTTTATCCTCTTCTAAAATGAATGTTATAATTAATATTATTTTAATAACACATTGCATTGGTGACCATTTCTTATAAATACTTTTCCTCATACTTCACTTCAAGTAATTCTCCTTTCGACCAACTCAATCATGAGATGAGCTGATCCTCTAGGAGAGTTAATCTCCTAAGGAATCGGTCCCTGAGAGAGTGGATCTTCTAAGGTAGTTGCCAAACTGCTTCTATCGAGCATCTCTGTGCTAATCACAATTAGCGAGCTATCGAGTTACATGATCAAACTAATCTAGTTGAGTTGCCTAACAGGCTCGATAAGCTTTAAGCTTCACATCTTGAACCTAATCCAAAAGCTTTTGGTCATGCGTCAATATTTTTCTTTATAAAATATGATAAAAATTTTCTTTCAAAGTAAATATAAGGGGATTGCTAGTATTTTTTGTTTGAAATAAAATTTTGAACATATATATATATATATATATATATATATATATAATATATATAATCTTAAAGCAAATGGGTGGTTCACAGAGAAAATGCGGACGATCAAGTATAGCTTTCGGCGATTGATTCCAGATGAGTTGTAGCGAAGGAAGCAGTTTACCCGATCGAGAGAAGACACCAAGAGAAAATCCCGAAGGGTAGCAATCAACCGAACCAAGTCTTATCAGATGATCGACAACCCTCATCAATCGAATAGGTCATCGGATTTATTATATGCAAATAACTTTGTAATTAACAAAAGTCCTCCGTAAAATGTTATGGTGGGCTAATATATACTTTTATAATATTGGGACATAGGTGTATAAATAGGGGTCCATAATATGAATAAATGACACATTTTGTCTGTCTATTATTGCTCTCTCTCTTTCTCTCTCGAGCATTTTCTAATAGAATGTTCCATTCATTGAGTGTGTTTTCCGAACATTTGTGGATTATAAATTATTTAAGGTGTGGTGAGCATGAAAACATGTCGTTAATAAGAAGAGAAACCCAACAACAACAACAGGGAGCGTCCAGCCAGAGGAACGAAGGAGAAGCAACATGCATCCGGGAGTGCATGGATGATTTTTTTTAGCAAGGCATGCAAGACTTGAGTACCCGATCACCAATCAGACGTCTAGGCAGTTCGCAGAAGTCATTAGGGCAGTCTTTGCCCTAACAGTAGCCCCAGTTCCAGAAGGAGAATTAGCGCAATAAGGAACCCCCCCCCCCCCCCCCCCCCCCCGCCCGCACCACCCCCCCCCCCCCCCCCCCTTCGGGGAACCACTGGCCAATGATGGAAGGAGGGGGATCCACCTGCAGGAGAGCCAGAAAATGGGCTATACTAAGACAGCGCCAGATCTGCCCCCTTGGAGGAGAGAAACCGCCAGATCTGCCCCCTTGGATGAGAGGAACCGACCAATGTATACCCAGGTATAGAGGTAGCCAGAGAACACTTCTCCTTACAGGTCTCCGGAGTTGAACTCCCAAAGAAGTTCAAGATGTCGGCCTTAGAAACGTATAAAGGACGATCAAATCCCAACGACCATCTTGCGTCATTTGAGTCATGGTGACATTTTGGATTAGAGCCATGGTGGAATGATAGTGGTAGGATGATGGCGGCTAACAAAGGTGCTCAAGGATGGTAGCTCAAAGATGGTGATTAGATACTGATGCTCCAACAAGGAGGTGAAAAAAATAATGGTGAGCAAATTAATGTCAATCTAATTGTGATGGTCAGACTAAAGTAGTCTGATGATGGTGGTTGGGTGGCGAATGATTATGTTCAAAATATCAATAGTTTGATAATTATAGATGTGCAATGATGATCTAATTGTGATTGCTGGCTAACATCAATTTGATGGTCGTGAATGGGTGGCAACAATCCAAAAAGAATGGTTTAATGGTGGCAGATAATTGATGATGATCAGAGTATGATGGATAGGTGAAAACCACCCAACAGAGGCGGATGGGTTGTAATTATTTGTGGTGGTGGACAGTAGTTAAGTGATGTTAAAAGTCATTTTTTAGGGGTGTTAATCGAATGATGATTGTAAGCTGAAGGGGTCGACTAGGTGGTAGCATTGATGCATTTGGTGAAGGTCTAATGACAATAAGTTAGCAATAGCAATGGTTTGTTGGTGGAACCAGGCAACAATGTCAGTGGTGCTATGATGTTAGTAGTGGCAGTCTGATAGTGATGGATGGGTGGTGTTGAGAAATTCTTCAGGACTTAGCTTTCTTAAATCTTTCCTTTATATGCAGGTCCTCGCCCCATTCTTTCTTTTATGTGAAGAGTAGACGTTTATCTAAAATTTTTTAGAGTGACATCTCTTGTAGATATCATTATAATCAGGAATATTCAATGAGATGGTCCAAAAAAATTACTTCGATCATATTTTTGAATGTTCGAGTAACTTAAAGACGTCTACGTGAAATTATATTGAGCTTATTGGATTCATCTTTTCAAAATGCTTGGTTTGACTATAAATTTGTTAGATTTAGTAATCATGTGATTCTCCAATTAATATTCCAAAACTTTTAAGTATGCTTTAGGTGGTTGATATGGGTTGATTTGGATTCGGATCAGATTAGTTTTACTGCCGCTTGATTCACCTCACTTAGATGCTCGGTTCGACTATAGGTTTTTATTTATGAAATCAAAGTTACAACGATCCTTAATTTGATTATGGAAGCTTTCAATCTAGAGATGCATCAAGCTTCGCGTTTGGTCAAAAGGATAGTTAGTGATGTATCAAATAATTTTTTTATTAGGATAATTATGCTATTTAAGCATATGATACTTAATTAATCACTTAGTTGCTCATACTTAAAAAAAAGCTACGATTCATATGATTTTTATTTATGATATTTATCATACCTAAACATGAGATTTAATCATTTAATTACTTCAAATAATAATAACAATTAGCAAACTATGATTTATGAGACTTATAACCATAAAAATTCGTGCATATTCATAGAACTTTATGATGTTTAACTAATATTTATTAATGATAATTCTTGTCTAATTATAAATTACGATATCTTTTAAGCTAACAGCTGTCCTTTTAAGGGTAAATACAACCAACTTAGCACTTCTTACTTCTCAACTCAAAGATTTGGCTCGGCTCATTAGATTTTTTATTAATTTAAGCCCAGATTAAAGTAGGCTTCAATGTAGTAGGGTTGGACTCGGCTCAATATAACTTGGTAAACAATTCAAAAATCTATAGATAGACCAGTTCAAAGTGATAAATAATAAAAAGATTTAACTTTATTTTTATTTTATAGTGAATTGTCGTACGTTAGAGGAATTTGAAAGTTGTTCAAGCTACTTGGAATTAGGGCTGTAAACGAGCCGAGCTTGAGGGAGCTCAGGCTTGGCTCGTGTTCGGTTCGATTTAAATATTCGTGTTCGTGTTCGGCTCGAAATTGGCTTGTTAAACTAAAATTGAGAAAAATAGATGTAAAGTATGAGATTCGAACCTGGATCAAATATATACAAAAGAATACATTAACCACATTGCCACATGAGGTGTTATGATTTAAACTTGGACATAAATATATATAATATATTATTATATAAATAATAAATGTAATATATTGTTATATAAAATGTTATGTAATTTTTTTTTCGAGCCATTTCGAGCCGAACACGAGCGAACAAACTGTTGTTCGTGTTCGGCTCGG